GTAAATGTTCAGAAATTACCTAGATTCAAAAATGTAAGTAGATAACCTAAAAAAATAGGTGCCTTTTTTTCTACTGGCTAATATCTGATTCAAAGGCCTTCATTCTGTAGCTTCCCAAACAGAATAATTTAAAAACAAAAACAACAGCCGGGCGTGGTAGCACACGCCTTTAATCCCAGCACTTGGGAGGCAGAGGCAGGCAGATCTCTGTGCATTAAACACCAGCCCAGTGTACACAGTGAGTTCTAGGACAGCTGGGGCTACAGGGAGACCCTGTCTCAAAAAAAAGGAAAAAAACCAACAACAAATGTGTCTTATTAGGCACATAAATTGAACTGAATATACTGTTTCTTTGAAAAACATATATTCCAAATCACCCTTTTCTATATTATCATCAATGACATCACACAACTTGAAAAATTTGCCTACCATTAGGAAGTATTTTAGATTTCTTCACCAAAAAATTACTGATTTACTTGAGCTTATCTACATTTCTGGCTAAATGAAAAAGCAGTAATAGAGGAAGATATAAAAGCAGCAACAATGTAAAGTCCCAAGAAACCTCTAGACACAGACACATCAGTGACTAACTCCCATAGGAAAGAAAGAATATCTGTTTCATTCATTCAACAAGTATTTTACTGAGCACCCATGATGTGCCAAGAGCTGTGCTCAGCACATATAGACTTCTTTAAAACTTCACAACTTAGTTCTTGCTCTCTAAGCATTTATAATCTATTACTTGTTACAAAAATAGCAAAACAAAAAGTATTAAGGAAAAAAGAGAAATGGCATTAAGTGCCAAAGTAAAAGAGTAACAGTTCCAAGCAGATTATTTTCTTTAGTAAGCTGGAGAGGAGATATACAACATTTAAAATTATTTCTGAGAACCTCCTAAAGAAGGGAAATTTAGTCAAGCAAAGGAAGTCATGGTGAGAGTGATCCTGAAGGCAAGAACAGCAGAATAAGCTTAAAGTCATGAACTAGTAAGTCATGAACCACTTAAGGTACCACGAAAAGGTCAGACTAGGTATAATTTATCAAGTATGAACACGTACCTTTTGACACATATCACAGGAGTTTCTTGAGCAAGGACTTAACATTTTTTTATTTATTATTTTTATGTGTATTTGTGTATTGCCTGCATGTAGATAAGTGCAACTGTGTCGTGCAATGCCCACGGACATCAGAAGAGGCTGTCAGATCCCCTGGGACTGGCGTTATGGACAGTTGTTAGCTGCCATGTGGGTGCTGGGATTCAAACCTGGGTCTTCTGCAAGAACAACCAGTGTTCTTAACCACTGAGCCGTCTCTCCAGCCCCAGGACATAATACATTTTTTTAGAGCTAGGAGCAGCCATGAAGCAAGAGAATTAGCTCAAAAATTCCCTAGGCATGGGAATGGGACAGCTTGGGCTGTTACATTATCTGTGAGAGCCTTTTGTACTCAGTATAATAATAAGGTAATCTGGCTGGGCATGGTGGCACACACCTTTAATTCCAGCACTGGGGAGGCAGAGGCAGGCAGATGTGTGTGAGTTCAAGACCAGCCTGGTCTATACAGTAAGTTTCAGGTCAGGTGAGGCTACAGGGAGAACCTGTCTCAAAAAGACCAAAAATAAATAAATAATAAAATAAGGTAATGAAATTAGTTTGTAAAACATAATTACTCCCTTATTAGTATATTGATAAAAGACTCAAAGGATGGAGTAATTAATTAGAAGCAGAGAGGCATTACTACAAGAATTTTATTTCCACATAAATTTCTAACTATCTCGTAAAAATCTGAAAAGGATCTTAAGAGTCTTTATCCTTCTCATTAAAAGAGGAGCAAAAAAATAAAACACTCAAAAGAAAGAGCTGGCTAGGTAAAACTCTTGGGCAAAGAAAAGCAAAAATCACCCAAGAGATGACAGGATTTAATGTTCTTCGTGAAGAAAAAGCACACACACAAAAAAAGACATGAAAACAGTTTAAAGACAAAAACATGTTTTACTCTGGGTGGTTACTGAGGAAGATAGCCACACACATGACTATATTTTGAAAGAAGTTTCTACTGGAAATTTTTGAGACCTGCTACTAGGAACCAAAAAAAAGTCTTTTTCTTAATCTTTTTTTAAAAAAAAGTGATCCTTCCAAAAATCACTATTTAAAGTTCATATATCTGTAAAGTCCCTCTCAATGGTGATCTTATAATTCTGTGAAGTACAAGCATGACTTTCCTATGTGACAGATAACTGAGATAAACTTGGAAGATGTGACTGAGCTATAGTTGATATTTTTTGTCCTTTTTTACATTTGATATTTCTAAATATTTAATAGATTCAGTCTAAATTATAGAAAAAATTAAGAAAAACCCTGAACTTTCCACTTCCTTAAGTCACTAGTTGCATTTCAAAAACTGCTCTGGTTTCCCTAATTACTGTACAGTCTACATATTACTTTACAAACAGATTTTATTCATGCCATATGCAGTAATGCTCCTAAGATCACAATCATTTAGCAAATACAGACTGTCTCCAATTTTAGTCTTCAGCTGGTCCAAGTAAGATATCTTAATTAGATATGGTCAATACAGTTGTCTCTTGGTATATGAAGAGAGTGGTTCCAGAACCTTGACAGATACCAAAATCTAGATGAGTAGATGAGGCCCTTTAACAAAAAATAGCTTAGTTACATGCATATGACCTATGGACATCTTGTATACTTTAAAAATCATCTCTAGGTTATTCATAATATCTACTATGATATGCATGCTACATGCACATAGTATATAATCATACAGTTGTTACAATATATTGATTGGACATTATGACAAGGAAAAAAACCCAGAATGTGTTCTGGACAGATGAAATTTAATTTCAAATACTATCAGCCTAGAGCAGGTTGAATCAACGGATGTGGAACCCTGCAGTTATGGACAGTCAACTATACGTAAAAGTTATATAACCTTCAGACCCAAAAATGCAAAAAAACTTTATTTCAAAAGCTAGATAGCAGAACCATAAATCACTGCAATGAATGATACAGGAACCTTGTTTCTTAATCAATTACCTTCTCAATTACTGCTCATTAATAATTCTGAGCATACACAGAAGAAATGATATAGAAAAATGATCAGTTATCATTAGGGGAATGATTACAGAGTTTCAAGTTAAGATTTCTAGATTTGAGGATTCAGTTCATTACATGCTCTCCTGGTCTCATAAAGTTAGGTCCCATATTTGTGGCAAAGGAAAATGATTTGATTTGGGGGAAACAATGGCAATTCTTGAGCCGCTCAGAGCTGGTCACCTAAAATAATGTTTTCACAGAAGCCATCAGAGGGAGAAAGAATTCTAAGCATTTAAGTAATCAGGTATACTTAATGGCACAGAGAACACACTGGTCTAGAAAAAAAATAGAAAATCAAAGTTCAGAGTATTTAAATAGAAGTATAAAACTAGCAAGTAAGCTTATTAGGAAGGTGGTCACTGACACAGCTAAAGAGAAGGGGCCATAAAACAAGCTGTGACTAGTTTATGCCAATGAGATACATGAAAATACTTTTAAAAAAATAAAATCTGCATTTTACTAGAAATGACTAGCTAGTATCTTGGCTTTGGTAGTGCAACAGCACCATCACAGCAAGGGTAAGCAGGTCAATCCCTTGCAAAACTTACCTTGATTGGCCCAATGGAAACAGAAGGCCCCAGAAAAGAGAGAAGCATCTGGCAGTAGCAAATTGTTTTATTTTATCTTTCTGTGGAAAGAAACTAATTTTAAATAAGAACCAGAGCATTTAAAGAGTAAATATTTTTTTTTTAAAGCTCATTTATCTAGTTAGAGCAGCTCTACCAAGAATACAAGAAGAGCTTCTTGCTGTTTAGAGATGGAAAGAAACAGAAGAGGAATCAGAGTTGTCTCTGCATCTCCTAGGGAGCTTTAAAATCTGGTTATTCTAGAGTAACAGAATAAAAGAATCTTTTATACAAAGAATTCCTGCAGGCAGAATCTGTTCAGTCTGGTGCCTTTGAATAAAGATTTTTTTTACAAAATTAGGGGCTATAATTCCAAATATAAAAGAAGAAAATCACTGGACACTGAGCAATTCTACTCTTATCTAAAGTTAGGTAAAAAGAGAAAGACACAACAAGCTCCTTCTTCCACTGCCATTTCACCAATAACCATAGTCATCAAGGCTTAAACAATTATCAAAGTAAACAGTACTCATTAGTGAAAGAAAATAGGCTTTCCAAAATATTTTGCTAACCTAAGTTTTTTACTTATCAAGATACTCAAATGGGATAACCCAGCCACCTAATGATCTTCATCTTATAGAACCTAGCACAGGAAACACAATTATTCATAATAACTGAGGCTGTTGCCTTTCTTGGACGCTCCTCTAGCAGCTCAGTTCTACCAGTCACTGAGCCAGCTTAAAACCTTTTGATCCAAATCACTCTCACAGAATATCCATTTATAGTTTATGCTTGAGATGGAAAAGGTAGCTTATAAGCAGAAGTGTGAAGATACTAGCATTTAAAAAAATGAAGCAGGAAATGAACTACCTATCTGGCAATGTCCTCTGAAGAATCAGTAATATAGCAGAAAATCCCTCTACATCAACCCCCAACAAGAAGATATTCTGAGAATAAAATTCATTCTAACTAAATCCTGAATAATTGCTATTTTTCTGATGTTATGTAGTTACATGGGTCAGCAAAATAATGTCACGTACCTGATATTTAGAACATTAACAATGGACATGATTGAAAAAAGTCACTAAGTTAAAAAGTCCACATGTACACTGTCACTTTTAAGTTAAAAAAATGTAATTTTGTTGAGGCAGTCAGTAAACTTTTTTATTACCGTCATGATTCAACATCTGTCTTATTTGAAACCATTATTTGGATGGAAAATAATCTTTAAACATCTGCAAATACAGTATTGACCTAGATTTTAAAATCTTGACACAATAAAATAAACACAAGTTAAAATAGAAAAACATAAAATTCTTACTTGTCCCATTGGAGGCCCTCCCATAGGAGGCATCATTTGTGGCATCATTCCATGAGGTACAGGAGGCATATTAGCTCTCTGACCCATAGGGTGCATTCCCATTGGTGCATAATGCATGCCAGGATGCCCCATCTGAAAAACAATGGAAAATTAAAATTTAGCAAGACACAATGAATGTTTCTCAAAAATGTCACTTCAAAACAAAAAAATCAATTACTTGTAAAGCACAACATTAGTCGAAGTGTGATTAAATTACTGGGTTAGTACATATTCCTGTGTAAAACAAAATGCCCACACTGGTAATTATAAGGAACCTGGAAATTCCGTAACAAAATGGGAAAAAGTAATATGCATTACTGGATGGTTGGATTATAGCCTCCCCCCCAGTAATTTAGCCAAATGTGATGTGACTCACTAAACTTACTCGATAGGTACTGAATGATAACACAACTTTGTCCCATTTTATACGGATAGCCAGCTTATATTACTTAAATATGCTAAATTTAACAAAACAATTTGAATGAGACTTTGTCACAAACATACTAGTTCCCAAGATAAAGTTCTAAAACAGATAAAAATATCAAAGTCTGCCATTCTGCCCCAGACACAATGCAAATAACATTCATTTTTATTAAAAATACACTTTCTTTCCATATTCTGTCCATTGTTCCTGCTCTGAAACTAATTATCCTATGCCAATTGTCCCAAGAGAGTCCCAGACCCCCCGCAAGGCACAGCTAGTAGAGGAAACAAGCTAAGGTGGGCTGCTTTGACGTCCTTGCCTCCGGTCTCCTACTGAAAAGCAGGCCTACACTCGGAGATGCTCAGCGCGCCCCAGGCGCCTTCCCAGCGCATCTGCTCAGGCCGAGACTACAGGAGCGTCCAAGGTCCCACATCTCTCCCTTTGTGCATCCCGCCCTCTAGCTCGCTCTCTCCCATGGGACGCAGCCCCCTCCGCCCCCCCCCCCCCCCCCCTTCCCTACATTCCCTCAAACCTCCTTTGGTTGGGTAACTGTCGTCTTCTCCTTTTGGAGAAAGCTTCCTGTTTCTGACTCGGGTTTTCATTGTGCCGCCTTCCCCTGCCCCACCGATCCCTTACCGAGGGCCGTCTCCTCAGGAAGCCGTCAGCAGAGACCCAAGAGCTGGAGCACAGGCTTGAGCCGGACAATCTCCGCTCCCCGTCCCCGGGACCCCGCGACGGAGGTTGGCTCTCCATTTCACTCACCATGAGGCCTCCACGCTCAGCTCCTGTCCCCGGCCTCATCGTCGGGCTCAGACTGCTCCGCCGGCGGCCACTGCCGCTACACATACCAACAAGAAGCGATCTGAGTGGCTGGCGCCCGCTGGGGCCAAAGGGTAAAGGCTGCCCTGAGCTACGGGGCGGGATCTGCGGGGCCAATAAACTGATAGGCTTCCGCACTGTCCAATCAGAGTGAGCTACCGACACGCAGCTCTGCGACGATTCGCCCCCAGCATCAGCCTCGCTAGGCGTCGCCTGCATGAAGAGGGGGGAGGGGGGCGGAGGAAGTTTGTGCGTCGAGTCCTCGGCCGCGAAAACTACACCAACTTCCCCCAAGAAAGGGGACGCAGCCACCCAGCTTCCCGGGTTCGGACCGCCTCACTCCACAGGGGGTGGGGCAGCGGCGGCCTGCCACCTTGGCCACCCCTGGCCCGAGTTACGTTCGCCCCACAAACCTGAGGCCGCCTAGGGTGGGGTGGGGGCGGGGAAAGTGGTGCCCGGCGTTAGTGGCGGCTGGGGCCGAGTACGCGTGCGCGCTTGCGGCCTTGGGGAGGGGTCCTGAGGTGGGGAGCTTGAGCTCTGAGCTCGCCACGGCAGAGGGATAAGTAGGAGGCCTCTCGCGCGCGCGCGCGTGGGGGGGGGCACACGAGAACGAGAAGGCGATTGGTCGTGGTAAAGCAAGGCCGAGCGGGAAGCTACCGCCGAGGGGGAAATCCTCCCGAAGGAGCGTGCGAGCGTGGAGCCAGTTAGGCAGTGTGCATCGGTGCGCCGTGGCCGTGCGCCAGGACCCGAATCGGAAAGGTGGCCTTGGCTGCCGGGGGGCGCGCGCCTCCTCACACCCGGCTCTTCCCTCCCGCGTGCTCGGCCAGGCCCTCCCCGCCCGTGCACCCCTGTTAGCGGCGCCAGGTGGTGGAGGCCGCCGACGCTCGTCGCTGATTGGCTGTTGCCGGGCGGGGTGTGGTGGTGGCGGGCCCTCCACCTTCGCGGGTCTCTCGGTCTTTCCCGCCATGTCGGTTGTGGGGAGTGAGAGATCTTTGGCCTCGCGCCAGCGTCGCTTTGCTATCCCGGCCGCTGTGGCTAGGCCTGTGTATTCCGACTTCACTCGGGGGGACGGTTGGGGTGAAGGCGAGGTCGACGGAGAGCAGGGGTGCGACCCGGTCGCCCGCGACTTGCGGTCCGCCTTCTCGACCGGGGCGCTATTGGAGCCCAGGAGCGGCCGGCTGCTCCCGGTGGAAGGAGACGGCTCGCCCGTGCTGCCCGATAAGCGCAACGGCCTCTTCCCGGTGACTGCGGTCGGCCACGCGCGCGCTCGCCGGTGGCCCGTCCAGGTCCTCTCTATTCTCTGCTCGCTGCTGTTCGCCGGCCTCCTTGCTTTCCTCCTCGCCATCGCCTACCTGATCGTTAAAGGTACTGCTGACCAGCGGTGGTATCAGTCCCGAGTCCCACTGAGCCGGGCTGACTCGCCTCCCTCACGCTTTCGCTCCCCGGAGCTTCCCCTCAACGGCTGTAGCTTTCCTTGCTCTTCGCCTTTTGTCTTCGTTTCCTAGGAGAGGTCCCTGGTTCACGATGAGAATTAGGACTTTCTATTGAATCAGTATTCGAAGAAACATCTTAAGGCATCTAACACATGCCGGAAACTAGCACTATGCAAAGCACCCACTTTAAAAAGATTATTTGAAAACTGCATGAAACTAAACTAGGCTGTATATTGAAATGCTGATTCGCATATGTTTTAAAACATTCTACGCACTTCTCTAAATAGAGAAGTTGAAGGACAAGGATTTCTAGCCCACTTTCTAGCTTTCAACGTCTATAGGCAAAATAATCAACTGCTTTATAATGTAACACTGCGTAGTATGTAAATTATATTGCAGCACATTTATTCTGAAATGTCTGAAGTTGACATACTGGTAAAACTAAGGAAGATAGATGTGATTTGAAAGACCCCGCACCAACCCCAAAGGATGTGTTGTAGAGTACCGTATTTATTGTAGTGGAAAGAATCAGATTTGAATTTAAAGCTCTTCGCCAAGTTATTGAGAAATAGGGAACTCAAAACAGAGTATCTTGTATTAACACTTGTCCTCGAAGTATTAGCTTTTCTGTTTAAATCTATTTAACTCCCGTTTTTCCTTATTTCCTCCCATCCCCTAATGGAAAATAGAGAAGTTTGCTTGCCATTGCTTCGTATCTGTTTTACACCCTTCCCCTTTTTTTCACTTCAACCCTGACAGTTTTATTTTTCTTTTGTTCTGAGAGGTCTTTTGTATCATAGTATCGTCCAGATTAAGCAAACTTCATTGCAGAAGACATGGGTATTTTGGAGAGTGAATCAAGGAACTGAACTCAAAAATCTGTCTTAAGTTGGTATATCATCTAAACAGCCCAAAAGGATAAACGTTCTCAATTTTTATTTATGGCAGTTGACTCATGTAAAGTCTTATTTACGTGCTGAAGAATCTTCACTTTTCTACCTATGTTTCTCTTTGTACTTACAGAACTGCATGCAGAAAATTTGAAAAATGAAGATGATGTAGATACTGGACTGTTAGGTATGAACTTGCCAGTTTATTCATCCAATCACTGACTTTTTGTTTTTCTAAATTATGTTGAAGTTATGCAAGCTTAGGGATAAAAAGCTTTATATATACCATGTGCAGTTGATTCTGTCGTTTTTCATTTGTGTATGTTTGTGGTAAATGTTAATAGATTACCTTTTGGATATATATGTATTTTCCATAGTTTTATAATGGCCACCGATATATGTGTGTGTGTGTATTTTTAAAAAGCCAATATAACTATATATGACTTGATCCAGCAAGTACTTAAGCAATTTATGATTCTGTTCTAGAAGAGACTCCTTATTCCTTCTCAGGAATTTAAAACCCAAAAATTTTGCTTACAAATTTAGCCAAGATAAATAGTAGCAAAACAGAATTCAGGAGACTTTTAAGTTTAAATATTTTTGTAAGTGGCTTTTCTTGAGATAAAAATTTTAAAGTGAGAATTATTTACCTTAGTTGCAAAAATTGATGACTAGGTAAATCAGTTGAGTTTCTGTGGTGACCACAATTATGTAGTTTATAGGTTTGTAGTGAACAATTTTGTTGATGGTATCTCTCTCGGACAGATAAGTTTTGAAGAGTTTAGAACTTTTTTACTTAGGACAATGATACAAATTTAACTATCAAAATTCAGAAATGAGGAAAAAACTGTGCCAAGACAAAAGCCTTTATTTTGAACCATGGATAAGTGAAGAATATAGTCAGTATCATTTAATAGGTTAACTCAGTGAACTTCATAGGGATTAATTTTAAAGTAAGCCTAGTTTGGTTTGCTAGCAAATTACAACATGTAGACAGAATAGCCTTCTGCTAGAAGAACATTCTTTATTATTATTATTTTTTTTTTTTTAATTTCTTGTGTATGAGTATATTGCCTGCATGTAGGTAAGAGCACCTGTGTCGAACAATGCCCACAGAGGACAGAAGAGGCCGTCAGATCCCCTAGAACTGGACCTATGGACAGTTAGCTTCCATGTGGTGCTGGGAGTCGAACCTGGGTTCTGCAAGAACAACCAATGTTCTTAACTGCTGAGCCGTCTCTCCAGCCCTAGAAGAACATTCTTTAAAAATTTGTTTCAGGGCTGAAAGCTTACCTCAGTGGCAGACAGCTGGCCTAGCATGCACTTGACTCTGATCTCTAGCACCACCAGAAAAAAATACCTGTTTCAGAGACACAATGCCAGCATAAGTTCTTAGTGAAATTGAGGTGATTGTGGTAATGCTTGTCTTTATGTTGTTCTAAGCTTGAATTCTCTCCTGTTTAAGGAAAAAATAACATGCCAGGTTCTTTACAGAGCATTTTGGATTGGTTAAAATTCTTCTTGAGGGCCTGGAGAGATGGCTTGAAATTTCATAGTCTTTTGATTATTACCTTGCCTTTTGGGCATAATTATTATTGCTGATATATGCTATTATGTTGATATTTCAATGATACATGTTTAAATTCTCACAGAGGACCCAGGTTCAATTCCCAGAACCTACATATTGGCCAACAGCTGTCTTTAACTCCAGTTTCAGGAGCTCCAAGACCCTTTTCTCCGTAGGGATTGCATGATATGGGTGCACTTAAATCATGCATATAAAAGAAAAATAATTTAAAAATTTTTATAATTATTCTTAAGACAGTGGGTAATTGAAAAGATAGGCCAGTTCTATTAAACTTTGATTACTCTCCAAATCAATGATAAGTTGATTAATTTAGATACCTAGAAAAATTGCTTCATTATCTTAACCCAAGGAAATGCCTGTGAAATTATATTCTTATCCTTTTTACACTTGATATGAAAGTTTGATATAAAGACATGAATAAACAGCCTAAGTTTTGAATAAACTTGAAGTTCTCCATCATGTAACCTTTTTATTATATGAGAATGATAGTATATTTGTATTTGTTTTGGATTATTTACTAGAAATTTCATAGTCTTTTGATTATTACCTTGCCTTTTGGGCATAATTATTATTGCTGATATATGCTATTATGTTGATATTTCAATGATACATGTTTAAGTTTTATTGTAAAACTACACCAATTCTTTTAAAGGTTGATTTTTAGAAAAAAAAAAATATGGGCACAGTAAAAAAGAATTATGTTTCTAGGCAGATAAAAATTTTGAATACTGAAAATATTTTTAATGCAGTTGAATCCTGGTCCAAGATTGGAATAAAGCTTAGTAAGATAAGACTATAGTGGTATCTCTTATTTTTATATGGATAATAGTCACCTGGGGACTTTCTTTTTGAATAAATACCTCTAAATTTTGATTTAGCCCAGGGTTGGGCCCAGGCATATTGAGCGTTTTATAAATAGTTATTATGTAGGTGTTTTAAGGACCTCAGTTTGAGAACTCTTGAAGGCTTTGAACTAATTCCCTGCCTACTCAGGAACTCATTTTTCAAAAATGTATTAAAGGGTGATTAAGATCCTGAAAAGATAACTAGTCACAAACTAGTAACAAGAAGCAATGTAAATCCAAATACCTTTTAAGGGATCATACTTCTGAAAGTATTAAGGTACTACAGTTTTTAGATATTTGCTTCCTAAAAAAAATTCTTCACAGGAAGCCCTACATACAGATTTTCTTTTTTTAAAAAGTTGGTAATGAGACAGTTTTGGGGAAGTTAATTGATCCTGTTCACAAGTATCATAGAATTGGGTTCTAGTTGTATGCAACTTTACTGCTGAAGTATTGAGGCAAGGTGATTTGATAAGATGAGCTGCTTTTGGAACCCACGCTACAGAGTTTTTAGGGATTGGGCTCTCCTTTTATAATTCTGCAAGCCATTCCTTACTATACAACAATTTTTCTAGGTAGGTTAGTAAAATTATTTAGCTACAGTCACATTTCACTCATTCCGTTTAAGATTATTCTCAGACCACATTGATTGCACTGAGCATGTACGTTGAGTTATTTAATTTTGCACATTGGCTTTTGCATCTGTTAAATTTTCTAAGTTTTCAAACTTTTGACAGCTTAGTCCTATTTCCAACACTGCACTATTTCCTCTAATCTTTAATACTTCCCAGGAATATGACGTGATAACCTTTCATTTCAAGCAAACCTGAAAAATACATAGTACCATATAAAAATTGTAATGTGAGACTTGATAATATTAGTGTGCTGTGAGTGTGCTTGATAGTGCAGTTAGCATGCTGTTAGTGTTTTAATAACCTGTGCTGGACCTATTGCTGTGTGCCCTAGTAGCGAGTTATTCTTATTTTTGCGCTGACCATTTAGTTCTCATATTATACCTGATATATTCCCAAGCTTTTGCCCATGTTCAGAGAAGAAATAATTGACATGTGCTGAATTCAATTAAGCCAGATCATTTGAAAGTTTTACCAACTTTCTTTACAGCAATAAATAAGATTTCTATCATGACTTTAAGATACAAAATATTAGAAACATGGTAAAAAATTCAAAGACAAGCCAGAATGCTAGGGTGGACAATTCTCAGAAGTTTAGAAAACTCTCACTTTCTTCCCTGAAATGAAAAATTATCTAAACTCAGAATTTGATTTTTTAACCACCATATCGTTCTTTTAATTAGAATCCACAAGCTAGTTAGGAAATAATACAGTTTAGCTGCATGTGAATGGGGTAACTCAAGTAATTTACCCCAAAATTCTTAAGTATATTAATTTTAAATTGTGAAACCTCATAAGAAGTATATCTAAAGAAAAAAAGAAAACAAAAGTCAGTGGACTAGAAAGATATAACCAAAATTTTAGTTTATCTGAGTTATGGATTGTTCTTATTTTAATATTTTTTCTGTTTTCTATAATACTTGTATGCACTAAAACTATTAAGAGAGCAAAAATTTAAAAACAAAAAAACAAAAAAACTTAAAAAACACAAACTTTTCCAGGCCTGGTAGTACATTCCTGTAATCCCAGTATTTGGGATGTAGAGGCAGGAGGATCCAGAGTTCAAGGCTGTCCTCAGGTCCACAGCACGTTCAAGGCCCATTTGAACTATAAGACTGTCTCTAAAAGTACATAAAAGACAAAAAGTGCACATTTAAATTTAGCGATATAAATATTAATGATTAACATTGTTAAAGAGTAACACTGTATTTTTATATTATGCCAAAATGTTAATTTTTTTAACTACTTTATATTCCCTAAATTTAAACTAAAACTTAATATGTTACTATTTTTTATGCTATGAGATAGTTTAGGCAGCATAACAAGACAGGGACAGGATGGCTCATTAGCAGGAATTATCAGTATGTCCTTATACTACTATGATTAGAGGTCTGATTCTCAGTAATTACTAGTAATTAATAATAAGAAATGGACTTTAGAATCTCTAAATCTCAAAACATCGATTTCAAAGTGTGAAGTATTGTAAGGCTTGTCAACATGGTTGAGGGTATGTTTCTTAGAATAATGAAATGGATGTCAGCTGACAGAATCATCTGGAAAACAGTATGAAAATTAATTTCGCTAGTCTTCACTTGATCTGGAATCTCTGATACAGTAGTCTGAGATGGAACCTAAGAATTTGCATGTCTAGAGAATTTCTAGTTGATGCTAATGCTACTAGTTCAGGGCTATATTTTGAGAACCCCTGGCTTAGTAGTCTAGTAGATCCTAAACTTGACATAGCAAAAACAAAATAAAAAATACTAGGTTTTCTTTATTGGTTTCACAAAATCATAGACACTCGTTTTTATTTTAAATATTTTATTTTTATGAGTGTATTGTCTGCGTGTATGTATGTAAATGGGTCCATGTCATGTAATGCTCATGGAAGTCAGAAGAGGACATAGGATCCACGGAACTGGAGTTGCAGACAGTTGTTAGCTACCGTGTGGGTGCTGGGAATTGAACTCGGGTCCTCTGCAAGAGCAGCCAGTGGCTCTTAACCACTGAGCAATCTCTCCAGCCCCCAAATATCAGAATCTTTTGTCAATATCTGCATTAATCAAAATCCTTTAGTTGGCTCTATAATGTACAGTATACCATCAAAAGTCAGTAAGAACAT